CTCTCGCAACTGATTGCTCCAAGAACTGCATTCGCCATTTCGCTTGAATGGTTATACCTTCAGGATCCGTTTGAAGGAGGCTCGAATAATTATCGCTCAAATCGAGCTTGACTTTGCTCTTAATCAAGCTCCAAATATGCTCAATCGGAATGAGCATTGGGGAGTATGGTGGCATTCTCAGTAGCTTTGCATCACGATATTCACGCTCCGTGAATACCTCCCCCAGTCTGTTGTGGCAAGGAGCATTGTCGCAAACGACGGTGATCTGCTTGATGAGTACTTTTTGCTGGAGTTGATCCAGCACTGATTGTATTTGGTAATAAAAAATACGCAACAATACTTATTCTGAAGACGAGTAACCCTTTTTAACAAACAGATGGACTGCGTTCTGGTTCGTTCAGTTCCGTGGGCTGAGCCAGGAATGGGCGAGCCACACTTAAGGTGTAAGTGATTTTGGTTGCTAAGCCATTGACGGCAGCCAGCCCATCCACCCAAGTTTACCTCCAGAACTCCAGCCTCTGTCACTGAACCAATATTGTTATTCACATAGACCCATGATTCTTGTACATCGCTCGGATTGCACCATAAGCCCAAAACTCGTCCCTGGTCGTAGTTACTGTGGTCAGCTTTGATTGTTGAGCTATCGTCAATGTTAGAGCAACTACGAACAAATTTACTTTAGCTGTAGTAGGCACGAAACAGTGGGTCATCCTTCATGCTTTTCGAGTGGCGTCCGGTTTGGTTGTCACACGCAAATAGCATGGCATCACCGACCCACCGATTCCACGTCCGTCACAGAGCTCGATAAGATGCTCGACTGAGATCTGCCTCATTTCAACACAGAAAGAGCGTGGGAAGACAGGCGGTCAATCCGGGGTTAGAAAAAATGTGATCAATTGACCAATGGGGTGCGCCGAAAGGAAGAGGATCCAACCACAGGGATTCTTTCTCAATTGCAAGTTATGATTTCTCTCAAATGCGGTGGAAAGGTTCGTGATAACCAGCAAAGAGCACTGGACAGCTGTTTCATCCCGTTTGGGACTCGTCAGCGGTGCTTACTTTTTGTGTCCCTGTTAGGACTCGAACCGTGATCAGTTGGGTCAGGACTTCAAACCCTTATCCCTGAGCCACACGGCAGATGGTCATCACCTTGTGCGAATAGCTCAGTCAAGACTAAGAGTGCCTCGTGCCTCTAAACAATCGAATGGGCTAATCCAAGCTTGATACTCTAAGTATGATTTCTCTAGTCAAAATGACGGTTTCGCAAATGAAAATTATAGTTTCTCAAATCTTACTTAAAACGGTATACAACAAACACCTGAGTTATATTCACACCGCGACAAAATTAACTTATGCGCCCACCCACTCTGGACTTTCTTCATATTTTTTTCCGCTCCCGCATTTTGGAGCAAATATGGACAGTAAACGAATGGAAAATCGAAATGCAAAATTTAATCGCTGCCAGTGATCGACAGAGTGGTGGTCTTTTAAATAAAAATAAGACTTTTATCTACTCGAAAAATCCCTAAAACATCCTTAAATGCGATAACATCACCAGAGATACACTTGCACTTTCTGGCAGGTCGACTGATTGACAAAGAGAAAATTTCCGCATTTTTACGTAATTGCTTGATAAAGACGATGTATACTAATTTCAGTCTCATTTTGCATGATTTTCTTAATTTACATCCACAAATATGGTGTGTGTGAAATACTTAAAATTCGCTCATCCGGGCGCATAAAGATACTACTGACTTGACTTGACTTAACTAATATCGTTTTGAAAGTGATTGTATGCTCATGTCACCGACAAGGGTCCTGAAGGAACAAACACTTCCGTGAAGGACAATAAATGGCATTTATATATGGTTTCATTCCACTTCTTTTTGTTGATTATATGCATATGCAATACTCAGTAAGTGGGAAGTGACCAGTCAGAGGACGATCACACCATAGATAGAAGGTTGGGAAAATCAGGCTCTCTTCGATCCTACTTTCAACCTTTCCTAGCTTTCTCCTCATGTTCATCCAAATGGACAGCCAAAAGACAGCAACCAAAGTCAGTGCACGAAAGTGCACGGTTCATGGTTGTAGAAACTGAAACTGAACACTATTTAGTCTTAAAGTATGAGTATTTTATCAATCCTTGTAAACCTGTGGACCTTCTGCATTACATGAAATAAGAAATTTTATATTTACATCGCATGCCAACAACGTCGGAGGGTGCTGCTCGATACAATGCATAAATTAACTGATTCTTGCGTTCACTCTCTCGCGCGCCCTTCGATTGTTTGCACCACACACTCGTCCTTGTTCGCCACGTTGGAATTTATCGTTTGTCTCGTCCATATATCGGTGCTAATCATGTCTAGGATTTATGAATATTCTCGTCCGGACGTGGTACGACCAAAATCTGTGAATTCTGTGCTACCCGCTAATTATTTGATTGGTGAGAGTCATAAAGGTCCTTGGATCAAAAAACGCAGACGGGCCGGATGGCAGAATGCACTGACTTGCACCCCTCCTGCCAAGATGACTGTGCCATCATTGGTCAGCACTAACGTTCGCTCGCTATTCGCGAAGATCTCGGATTTAACCTCCATTCTGAACACACGCATTAATTCCAACACACGTGTTGCTTGTGTACAAGAAACCTGGTTGAATCAAAACATTGAGGACATGCTCGTGCGAATAGAAGGGTTTGATGGCTACCGGCAGGATAGACCGCGAAGTAGGAAAAAACCGGAGGCGGTGTGGCTACTAACATCAATGTTTCCTGCTGTGGCAAATCAGAAGTTATATATAACTATTCTGAAAAATGCATTGACTGTTTGTCCGTTCGTTATCACCCTAAATTTTCTCGTCACAATAGTACAATCATCATAAATGTGTGTATATCTCCCTCGTGTACTCGGACAGAAATTTCTGCTTTCTTTTATTCTTATATTCCATTTCTAGCTTCATTATTAGATGAAAATCTTCACTTATTTGTAGGTGATTTTAATCATGCACGCATTTCTCCCCTGCTTTCGTTTAATCTATCTGACCTTTTTCATTTTCTTATCAGAGGTAGTTGGGTGCTGGACAGAGTGATCACAAACCACTCCAACTTATTCTATCTCAAACTATTGACCCCATTTTTTACCAGTTACCGTTGTATTCTTCTTATTAGGCCAGAGGTATATTATCGCATTGCTTATCAAGCATTCATACGTTCTACTCAGATAAATTTTTTTTAAGGGCCTGTGGTGATCGTGTAACGAAGTACTCACGCACCACGGTACAGCTTCCAGGTAACCAATCAAGAAGCGGAATAAACGACCTATCCTGTGGTCTCAATTGGCACCATCCGGATTGGCTGAATGCAAGAAGGCAAACAAATAAACCATATCGTTGTCGATTGGACATTCCAGAATCG